TTAATAATATAGCTGTACCTGGAAGAGCTAAATGGAAATAAAATTGCAGAGTCAGTTTCAGCTCTGTCTAACACTTCTCTAAATGACTGAACTTTTTCTTAGAGACTTGACTGATGTTTGAATAGTCCTTTGGGTTAGGGAAGATTCTTCTTTTGAATTGAAAATATTTTCAGTCTTTTTAAACTTCCTCCTATTTTATGCATTAGAAGTTTAGAAATCCTGAAGCACTTCATTAAGAACAACACACTTCTGTTTGGTCTCAACATAAATGAATTTGAAAATCTGTGCCCAGCAACCACAACAATAAAATGCTCTTGGTTTGATTTTTGTTTTTTCAGTAATGCAACTTTAAGTTTGAGTATCTGATGGAGCGAATGATTCTTCTTTTTCTAATTAAAAAATTATCTTTGACCCTCACTCTAGAAAGGGGACGTTTTCCAGCTGTGTCAAGCTATGTGCTTGAATCTTCAAGCATTTTGACAGTCTTATGTATTTTCTCCCTGCCCATGTGAAATCACGAATTTCCTACTGAGTATGTGATTGCAAGTTTACTGAGCTGAGAGACTTTTTCTGATTATGGATTCAAGCCCTTTATAAAGGTATTTACCCTAAAGAATGTGCAGAACCTTTCTTAAAATATGCTTATGGTTGCCAAAAGAATGTATGCATGTGAAACATTCAACAGGAATGAACTGCTGCTCCAGCTCTGAAAAAAGACCGTACTGAGAAAGAAACTTTGCCAGATGACACCAGGTCGTGAAGTGCTTTGTGAGAAATGTCTTGGCCTGTTCTAGTTACTGATGAAATTTGCTTTCCACTTCAGTAACGCCAAAATTTCACAGTTGGATGATGCCCTAGAGATTATCAAGAACACTAAGAAAAATTTCCCATCACCTCTGATTAATTACCCAGAGTAACAAGTGTTCCCCTGGGCCATGTTTTGTCTCAGCTACAGATAAGCACTGCTGTGTGAATTTTAATGAAGTGCAAACTCTGTAGCAAGCAGGACAACTTTAACACTGCACCATGTGGTCCTGTTGGCAACCTGGTAATATAGACCTAGAATAATAGCAATTGCTCTATAATATAATAGTGCTAAGAATTTTAAGGTTACTGATTCAACTGTATTTTGAGGTGGGAAGGATGAAAGGAGAAGAGAAACACACTAAAAGAGCTTCAGCAGGAATTACTTTAATGTGTAAGAGTTATTTGTAGAGGAAATCCTGGACTATTGGCAAGAGCATGATATCTATGAAAAATCTCCGATCTTTTCTACAGCACAAATACTGACTTGTCTTTCTTGTTAAATATTTCTTCTTTTAAGTATTTATTTTTTATATATTTCTACTAGTTGGTGCATTTAAAGTATTTACTAGTTGTCCATGAAAATATACAGTAGGTTATCCAAAACAGATGTGGTTTTTCAATTAAAATAAAGTACTCCTATGTTATAATCAATATGTTACAACATATACTTAACTCATTAATATCATGATCACATCAGGTTAGTATATTGAGAATTATTCATAGAAGTTAGAGCTGTTGGTAGATTTGGGATGCATGTCCTTCACTTGGTTAAACAGTCATTGTCTTTCCCAACATACCTTGCCTTGCTTATATTCCCACAACTGAAGAAGAAAAAAGTATTTGTTTAGCAATGCAAAGGAAAATTCATTTGGGACATATTTTTGTTTTGCCAATTCATGTCTTTCTTCCTCCTTTTTACCCCTAAGCTGAAGCACAGCTTTGCTTAAAACTGAAGTGGAGGGTGTATGTATTTTGAACCCTTTTTTTGCTGTTATTTGTACAGAACACAAGTTTGAAAGAGCTGGAATAATAGAGACACAAGTGTCTCCTAAAAATCTGCATAGTTTCAAAATTTTGCACAGACTTGTCTGTAATCCTCTAAGAAGTCTTCTGTGAGTAGGGAAGCATAATTTGTTTCTTTATAGATAGTAAACACAGAAGTGGAAAAGCTACACAACTGTAAAAACAGAGAGATGGTCCCTAATCTTTGATATGAAAAAGGATCAAGGGTGGTGGTGGAATAAAAGAACAACCTAAGCAAACGAACCAAACCAAACAAAAAGAAGCCAACCCAAAACAATTGCCAGAAGACCTATCAGATTTACTACAGAGTTTATCCAGGAAAAGCTTTGATGATTCACAAGTGGCTATTAGCTGCTAGTCTTTTCACTTTGCTTGCTGTGCATGTAGTGCTGCCCATCACCTGTTGTTAATTATAACATCCTATAAATCAAATGTTAGAAGACTAGCACTGGGACACAGTGCCTGCCCTGGCTTAATGGACACTCTAGGAAAAAAATAATTTTTCAAAAATTTATTCCTGGACAAGCTTCTGTGAACCTGGCATTGTTATGAACTGATACTTCTATTAAGAAAAACACAAGTGAGTGCCTTTAAACAAATAAGGTGCTGGCTTTGTACAATCATTGTGGTTTCAAACACCATATCAAAAACCACTATGATGGGAAGTTATCATTTAATAAATCAAAAAAGCTTACTTGGTAATAAATATTTTTCTTAGAAACCACAATATTCTCTTTTCTGTGGATCATATGACTTTCCAGTTCCTGAATTTTTTTACATTACTGGAGTAACAAAGGAACATGGGAAATAACTCTGCATGGTGAAATCATTCAGTTAAGCTATGCCTACACTGTGGTTAGAACAACTTAAAAACATGTGATTTCAGGCATAGGTGATCAAATTATTCCCTTTTTCAGGCAGCCACAAGTTACTGACTGAATTGGGCAGTGCTACCTTTCTGAGATAAGGAAAGTGTTTAGTTTTGACTAAATCATTTAAATTTAAATTCTTAGCTTTGTATTCTACAAGAGGGTGAGCAGTATTTCCTCCTCCAATATGGGAAATAGTTTCTTGCCTGTATGGGCTCTGAGCATTAAAAAAACCACAGCAAACTAAAGAAGGTGATGAATTGCTGCTATTGACTCTTTTCTATATTGGCTGCTATTAGGGTAACTTCCACTTATATTGATAAATCAGCCTTTGTAGTTAGCAGTGAAAAGCAAGCCAGTATTTAAAATAAACATGAAAGAAACTGTACATAGATTCTGCTCTCAGTGACAGCAGTCTAAATTCAGATTTGATCTAGACACAAGTACTGTAAAGATTTGCACATAAACATCCATAAGAAACATACTGTTGAATTTACACACATGTATTATCACATGTAGAATAACCTACTGACATAAAATATCAAATTGACTGGCACCTATCTATTGACATTACCACAGACTATCAGGTAGTCTTAAATATTCAGTGACAGGTTTTGCTGGAAACATACCTGCACTTCCAAAGTTGATATACAAATACATACATATTTGTATATCAATTCATACATAATTAAGTTTCACCTAAAGAGTACAAGTAATAAATTCTTCTGTAATACTGCTCTGTACAAGTCCTTCAAGTTTTCCAATATCTGCTAAGAAAGGCATAAAAAAGTTTATACAAAGTCAGAAGAATCACCTTGTTTTACTGGAATCCCTTTTATGATGCACTTCTCATGTCCATTTTTTGGTTCCACAATTATTCAATATTCTGAATTTTTGCGTTCATGGGTGTGGGATTCTTTTTCTAATAAAGTGCAATGTGGATATGAATGTATTTTTATAGTTTCAATTACTTACTGGCTCTGCTTGCTGTTAAAAATGTGGTTTTGATTATTCTTAAGACACTTGATCCAACCTGCTTTGGAGAAGTTGAGCTATATTGTTTTTTACTGTTCATATGACATGGTGTGCATTCTAGCTGAGATCCAAGGTACTGTACAGTGGACTTGCATCAAAAGAGAAACTGGTGCAGCAAACATTGATTGGAGGCGGAAATGCAACTTAAGGAATATTAATAAAAGAAAGGTATTGAAATCACAGTTCTGGCTTTAATCAAAAAATTTCTCAGCAGTCCAAAGTGCTGGTTTAGGAGATAGATAGGACAAAAATTGCTGAAAATATATTAAAAATATGAAGCCTTGGAAAAAAAAATAAATTGGAGAATCATTTCTTTTACAGACAGGCTTTAAATGACCTCAAAGAACTATGTTCCATGTTGGTTACTGTTTTGTAATGGAATTCCTGTAGTTTGAAAGCATCTTCTGCCTGCAGCAGCTTTGTTAGATATAAGAATATATCTATCCTCTAGCTGATCTTCCTGTGCTCCTAACTCTGCATTTTATTTCTTTTTGTCTGGAATGGTGATTTGATGACAACCAATTTAAATCTTCAGGATTCATGTTAATATACTATGAATGTTGTGCAATGTTATTAAGGAAATGGACACAGAACTGACAGTATCTTCATCACTGGTGTGCCAGGAAAGGAAAAGATACTTTCTGAAAATCTTCTTTACATGTAGAGATATGGTTCTGAAGTTAATTATATCTCTACATGCTTATGGGCAAGTCTCAGAGCCACCTGCTTAGGCTGTATTTTTTTACTACAATTCTGCAGCTGAGTGCCTTCCTGTCTGCATCCTCAGCTGCATGCTCCTGTAACACACTGTGCCTACAGCATCCCTGTGCTGTGAGCAGTTCCATTCTTGAGGGAAAATGTGACACTGCTGACCAGTGACTGGTGGGCTTTCAGAAAGGCACTTTTCCTGCTGAGTGAGTCATATTTATGAAGTAAACCACTGTAGGGATGCCTATCCCAATGAGAAGAAACTGATCTCACTTTCTGTCTGAAAAGAAGATTATGTCCTCAGCAAAGCCCCCCTCTCTCAGAATACCCTGACATCTTCTGGCTTTGTGAGTGGAGAAGTTCTCATCTCTGGCTAGAGATGAAATGTTCTCATCTCTAGGTCAGCATTCTCATGTAGTTTCTACCTCTTGTCTCTGAAGATTTTTGACAAGATAGGTCCTTTTTCATGGCAATAATTTCTCTTAGGAAATGGAACTTAGATGTGTTAATTGCATTGTTTCAGCATTAGGCTTTTTCATTAATTATGTCAAAAATTACCTCAGTTTAATAGAGGAGACCTTCACGATATCAATTCTGATATCCAGACTCCACATCCAGTAATGGAGAGATCATAATAGTGCTGAGTATCAAATTTGAAGGATTCTGACAATCTGCATTTTCTTTTCTAGAAAAAGAAGGAAGAAAGACTATATGTTAATATCCTTCAAAAAGGCAGGAGAACAAAAAGATATTTTGACTTCACTTGAATAAATAAGCCTACTCAGAGTTTATTTTATTTTCTTACTTTAAAATTTTAGACATAATCATACATTAATACATGAAATAAACATGAAACAGTCTGGGAAATTTGTTTAAAACTGTTGCTCAGGTTACAAAGGCACCATGAATGGTTCTTATTTTGGTTTGTTCTGTTTTTATGTGTAATATCATCTCATTCCTTCACTATGCTTTGGTGCAGCTCTATAATTCACAGAAAACTGTGTTATTTTCTCACTGGACTACTTTGTATATTACAAAGGGTCATTCTTTCTAGTTGTACACAACTAGTTTTTCTCTCCTCAACAGCAGTCATTTTCAACCTTGGTCAGAATTTTAAACAACCAAAAGCTGTAATGATGAGAGAGAAAATTGAAATACTTCAGTGTACAGTGTAAGCTCTGGTTTATCACAAAATACCAGACAACAAATTGCATCAACCAAACCCTAAAACTAAAGTAGTTTTTCCCCTGCCTCATAAACGAGTAACAGTCAACAGCTCTGGAATGTGCACTCCTCTCCTATGAAAACATTTTTCCGCTCTGCGTTTTCCAAAACTCAGAAGTTCAAAGCTAAACTACTACATGTTATAAAAGAACAAATTTACCATGACACTTAAACAAAGACATGAGTCAGTGTATTCAGATTTCTTGAGGGATGAAGGAGTTATGTTTCTTGTTAAGGCAAGGTTTGCAGTAAAGTTATTTTTATAGTTTTATATATCTCCTTATAATTATGTATTCACACAGATGTTCTGTTTTACTGCACAGTTAAAGCTGTAATTCATGCCCTTTTTGTAAGGGATATATTAATTGAGGGATTACAACATTTCTCCTCAGAAAGCAAAATATCAACATCCTCATTAAACAAATGGGCAAAGGCAATCACAGACATTAGGAAATTTGGTTCACTATTATTTACGATATCCATGGCAGTCTGGGAACCTCAGCAGTTTGTCTTTGCTCTGAAAAGTGCTACTTGTGTTCTTAGAAATAGCATGAGCAAGGTGGCCAGCATGTATGTGAACAGCAGAGACAAAATGAGGTGCCTGTGGACAAAACAACCTATATCTGGAATAAAATGCAAGCAATTTTGTGTCCTCTTAAATGTGAGATGTAGAACATAATAGATTAAGCAGCTGAGTTTCTGTATGTAGTTTTTAAAGCTGTCTAGGAAACTTGGAACACCATTTTAATTTATTTGGAACAAGTGGCTGACTCACTTGTCTGCTTTGAAAAACCTGTACAACTGTTCCTGACTGGAATAAGATGAATATTCTGGAAGTCATTGCTCTTATGAAACAGGAAAGAAGTACAGAAAGTCACAGAGCTCCTGTTAATACCAAATCTCACCGAATGTAATGTCAATTTGGAATATGTTAAAGGATGCAAACTTCTCCTAGGTATGGTAGTAGCTTTAAAACGTCCACTCTTTCAAGAAGACTGATGTGGCCAAGTCTCGTCCCTCATGGACGTTGTCCTTCGTACAAAATTTGGGGTAGCTAGATCAAAGGTCTGCTCTACATTCAGACCTTTGACACTGAATGTTATATTCAGTAGGAAGGAACCAAAATCAGAAGATCCTTGAACATGGAGAAAACTGACATATCAAACTGTATCCAACAGCCCTTGCACACCATCAGGATTGAGTTTTCCCTTAATAATATGTAAAGATTTATTAGGTCATTCTCTAAAAGAAGTGTTTAGCAACTGTAGAGTCAATACGCTCAAATTGAGGGGCACAATTTTTTTCCTTCAAATGCAATTTTTTTTTCCTAGCTGGTTGCTTTACCTATAGTCATAAATTCTCTGTAGCCTTTTTAATATACTATTATATTTCACATGGGAATACAGACAGGCTTTAATGCAATTACTAAATAGGGTTTTAAAACCTTTAACTTTTAAAGCTGGAATGTTTTGATTTTTCATTTGTCTGTTTTAGAGGCCTTTAATGAACTGTACCATTGAATTTCATGTTGGTTATGAAGGAGATCATCTGTGGCAAGTAAAATTTCTAGTAAGGGAGAATGTCACAGTCAGTTTTGTTGGATACAGGCATGTCACACTGGAGACAATGGCTAGGAGCACCAGTCACCTGAAGAGGGGAACCTGCATTAAGTGGCCCACTGGGTAGATGGACCATGTTTGATAAAATTTGGAATAATGACAAAAGTGAACTCTCCTTGACAGACAATAAACTAATTTAATTTTTAGTCATCCTGCGTTAAATTTCAAAGTTCCTAAGAAAGCAACACCTAGATATAAATGTCATTGAGCACTAGGGTGCAATTAGGAGGCAGTGCCTTGATAGAAAGAGGGCAGCTGATTAGTATCAGGCCAGTGGTAGCTGTGCTGGCCTCCTGTGTGCAAACAAGGGTGAGAAGGAGTTCCCTCCCCCTTTCTCTGGAGCCAAGCACAGTCCTCACCTATGAGCTGCTATGTTTGGCTATGTGGGCAGCACAGGCAGCAATGCCTTATATGTTCTGCGCCAGTCAGAACCACAGTTTGGGCAAAATCAGTACCAAACAGTGCAATAAGGATCACACAGGGCAAATATATTCCTTTGGCCCTTGCTTCCACCTCCCACATTATGCAAGTGAGCAGGGCAGGGTTAGGAAAACAGTGATTTATAATGTTGGTGGTAGGTGGAACAGGGGAGACTGTGGACCAAGGGAGCCAAGTATTTTAAGCATCTGTTATAGGCCTATGCCAGATGCAGGATACCAGACAAGATGTGCCATTTGTCTGTTCTTGAATGGAATTTCCTATGTCTCTAATACCAAGCAAACTCTGTTTATTTAAAATATAACTAATTCTGGTTTTGTAGAGATGATATACAGCACATTTAATCTTTTTACTTTCACAATGACATTTAAACACTTAAAAAGTTATTTACTTAGCTGTGTAAATTCAGTCAGGAGGCTGTTTTGCTTTGTCATGAGTGAATCTGTAACGGCTGGAAAACTACTAGGTTTAGGGAGGCTGCCTTTTGTAGTTTCCTGAAGTACAAATTTCTCTTGTCTGGGTTAAAAATGGGACTTGGGTTCTTAGAAGTCCTGTGTCAGGCAGTGATTTCAAGTGACTGTTTGCATGGGCACAGAGAGAAGAATGATTTGGGAAATGCTGACTGTTCTCTCCTGACAGTGAATTTTCTTCCAATTCTAAGTGATTATATTTAATAAGTAATTCCAATTATTTCCCGAAGGAATACACAGGAATTTATAAGCAAAACATTTACTCAGAATATGTAAATTCAAAATGACAGCTTCCTAGTGGAAATGCAAGCATTAGTAATAAAAGGAAATGTATCCCAATTCTTGAGTGCATTTCTTGACAAATTTTGACAGAAACACAGACTTCCCAGAGCAACAGCATCTCATAATGAGACTGACTATCTGGAGGTGATTATCCTACATTTAAGTCTCTGTGCAATCTTGTTAATACAAAAGATGTAAGCCACAAATTACATTTAAGACCAGGAGAAAAAATCAGTGCTGATATATATAGCTCGAAAAGCAAAATGGAACAGCCCCACTGTCCCAAGACCTGGACTCCAGAGTAAGCCAATTGCACAGAAGGTCCATCTTTTGCATATCAACCCTGCTTACTGTCAGCATCCTTCCCTGTCACCAGTGGAATTCCTGTTTGCTCTTGCTCCAAAGGCACATCAGGCTGGACTATCAAACCTGCCAGCCTTTTTCACAGGTCCTTCTGGTACCTCTGCTCCAGTGTCATGTCTCCCAGTCCTTTACCAGCAGGCTGTGTCCTGGTTACCTCACTGCTCTCTGAACTAAGATCTTTCTTTGAACTGTTGCTAGATTTTGAGTTTACAGGAGGTGTCACCCAAGACAGACTTCTTGACCTGGGCCCTCAGTTGACCCCCGCTTTTTCACTGAAATGCTTTGGTTTCTCTTGGGACAAGAAAAGAGAGTTTAAAATAAATAAAAATCCACAAGATGGAAGAAGTGAAAAGTTGTAGTGATAAATTTACTAACAAAATAGTAAGGCCCACAATACAACTAATCATAAATCAAGTTCTTCCGTGACATTCCCTCTAACATTTTAGGTCACAACACACATCAAAGCATGTGCCATTAACTGCCTGCATAAATGTGCTTCATGAGCTCATCACCTCCTGCCCCAGTTTATCTGTTTGTAAAGCTGAGGTTGGATTATTAGACTGGGGCAGTGCTCTGAAGTCCAGCTTCTGACAAGAGTTGTTAAAATAATTACTGCAGCAGATGTCAGAATCAAGTGAAAGCAGCCATTCAACAATCAAAGTACAAACCACAACCATCATTTATGTTGTGTACTATTGCAGGTACAGAACCAGCAAAGCAGAAAAATGTTCACACTTGCTTCTAGATATAATCCTCTGTTAGGAGAGTATCTCCCTCCCCCACCCCCCCCCCCCCGCCCAAAAAAAAAAGGTTTTTCCAGTACACTTTGCTGGTTTTAGCTGCAGCTAGAAAAGATACAGCTGTGGTTTTTGGCTTATACAGCTTGAGGTTTGAGCTCAATATTCAGCAACAGCTTAGTCTGAGCTGTTTTACAAAACTATTTTTCTGTAAACATTTTCATTCAATAGTTACCATGTGATATCTGTGCTCCCTTAAAGCATACTAGTGAGGGGTGCCTTATCTTCATATTGCCTCAATGGTCAAATACTTACTTGGGAGGTGGTCTGAAAGCTGGGGACAGAGGCAAGACAAAGAATATTTAATGAAAGCTGGATTCTGACATGGAGTCCTGTGATAGACAGTCCAACAAGCTGCTGCTGAGCGACACATCTCAATTGGGAGCTGAGTGAATACGTTCAGTTTGAAGAAGAAGTTTTAAGTTAGCCTTTAGCTCATGGCTTTGGAAACTGTTATTTGCAAATGGACCCCACACAAACAGGTCATAAAAT